CCTTCTTTCCCACCCGCATCCCCACCCGCCGGCAAGACATTCAAGAACGGCATCAGCCCCGTGCTCCTCACCCACTCGACAATCGCCTCCGGGCCCTCCATGACATGCTGATACGCAACATGCCACACATCAACCGTCTCACACAGCGAAATCAACCCATCATACCACTCAGCAGGCGTCTCCACGGGATCCAGCTCCGGTCTCTTTTCCTGGGGAAGCACTCTGAAGTACTCTGACCAGGGCTCCCCTTCGCGCTGCGCCGTCTCGCGCATCGCTTTGTGCGAGGGCTCGTTGTAGTTATCTGGCACCTGCAGCGCAAAGACACCCCCACTCGGCTGGCTGGCGAGTAAGCGCAGGACGGTCGGGATGCGCTCTGGGCGGCGCAGCCAGTGAAAGACGGCGTTGCTAAAGAGGAGGTCTGGACCGTTCCTGCTGCTACCGTCACCATCACCATCACCACGGCTGGTTGATGTGGCGGGCACTCGAGGTGAATACGTATGTAAGTCCGCCTGCACAAACTCGACCCCAGGCACGTTCGCGCGCGCCTTGGCGAGCATGTCTGGCGACGAGTCCATGCCAGAGATGTGTGCGTCGGGCCAGCGCGCTGCGAGCACGGCGGTCGAGTTGCCGGGGCCGCACCCCAGGTCGACGATCTGCTTTGGGGGTTGAGCGAGGAGGATGTTGGCGACGAGGTCGCGCACAGGGCGGGTGCGCTGGGAGCCGAACTTGAGGTATTGGCTTGCGGACCAGTCGGATGCTGGGTTGGCAGAGGCGGTTGATTGGTGTTGAGTGAACAAAGACATGGTGGATGAGAATGGGCGGTGGGTTGTTGGGGAGTTCATGAACGGTGAGCGTCTGGAGATGATGCGTGACGCTGTTGGTCTTGCGAGTTTGAGGAGGTTCATAATGACCTGAATGGCTGCTCGTGTCAATACTGTACAATGAGAGGTGATACAAGACAGCCGGCTCGTATAAGGCCAGCAAAGCGCAAGTAATCAGCCTGATCTTGTTTGTACAAGAAGCAATTCAGATTCAACTCGTAAAGACATGAGCAGAAAGAAGAAAGTGGACGATCCGGTTAAGGTATTGAGGGAAAGCTGTACAGCAAGTAGTTCCAGGGACCTCTCACCCACCATCATCATCATTGTCAGCTTGTTCGATGTTGTTGGTGGTCGTCCAAAAGAAGCAAACGCACTCGGTGCCGAGGACCATCTCCGGCCGGGGCTTCGGTGACGTTGCGCCGCTCGGCGAAAGCGCACAACAACCTTGACCTTGACCCTAACCCTAACCCTAATATTAGTGCTGACAATGTCTGGTTGTTCTCATGTCTCGATTGCATAGGCCCATCAAGTCTGTTGAAATCATCATGAATATTTCAATAACAATGTATTTACCCTCGACCAATTCATGAAACGTTGGAATCCGAAGCAGCAATTTATCACCGCCTAGGTTTAGGCAATAATGATGCACCGCTCCTGTGGTTCTACCCGGCCAAACGCCGCTTCGAAATCGCCATTCGCAATAACCACTTCCTCGCCCAGCGCAGCATAAAAGCCCGCGGCCGCAAAGCGAAGAGCCGGACAACCTACCGACTGCACAAGTCCAAACGCATTGGGCTGGTCGAGAGTCGTTCGCGGAATCGGTATGTGAGCCTTTGTCCAGTCTTTATCCTTAATCTCAAATCCCGTGGTCGCTGCGATTAGCGATCCGCTCGCGCCGTTCTCGTTGGCTTGTGTGCCTTTTCCTTGAACTTCTTGATGGGGCTGTTGTTCCACATAGGCAGTACTCAGGAACATGGTCTCGGCAGCTATCAAGGGAAACCACCCGACCAGCTTTCCACCGCACCGCGCCGCCATGACCACTCCCGGCACGCTCTGTGGAATGATGGACGACATGGTCGAGTGTACCGTCTACTTCTTTTTTGGCGCAACTGCGTACATCTGCTGTGGAGGAGTGATGACAACAGAAGAATCGATGCTGTAGGTCGGGCTTGCGTAGATTTCGCCATCCGCGTCGGGTATCAGATGCGGTATCGGGAGATCCAGAACGGCAAAACTGGATATTTCCTTGGGCACATCGGAGGCATGAATCAGGGGCATTGCAACCACAGAGACTTTGCCCATGACCCCGAGCAGACTCTTTTGTGCGTTGCCCTTGTTGTAAATCTTGGGTCTCCCATTGTACATGCTTGCAAGCAAGTATAGTACATGTGCTCGGCTGACTTTGCCTTCGTTGTTAAGTTCCTGACCGAAGCAAGTACACATGGCCAGAAAGGTCGTGCTTACCTCGCCCCATAGGCCTCGAAAATATGCGTCTCCATCGTCGATGTACTGCAGCGTCACCACAGACTCCAGGAGGCGGTAATAAAATCCAAACACCAAAGCCTGAAAGCTGAGCCACAACAAGAATTTGGGTTCCTTGCGACTGGTGAACAAGTTGGTGGACTCGTTGCGAAGAAGGAATTCAGTGCTTGAGTGCGTGTCAAGCCAATCAATATCTGATTGCGAGGCTTCCTGGATCAGGAACGCAACAGCACTCTGTACCTTGTCGGACTGACAAGGGAAGTATTTTCTTGCCAGGAAAGTTGCCGACGTGGTGACTCTCGTCCCGGCTTTGTGCCCGTCATCTCTGTGCCTCTTGAGTGATTTGGGGACAGCGCACAACTTGTAATGATAGCTTGGAGATTGAGTAGTATATGGCAAGTCAGCAGCAGCTACCAAGGTGTACTCGGCTGCCGCTTCTGCGCCCTTTTTCCAAAGCGCTTCCATCACATTCCGCCGCCCAAAGTTTGTACCCACGGCCTGAATCATGCTTTCCGGCTCTTCTCTAGGGTATGAAATCTGCTGTGCGTTGTTCTGTAGACGTTGGTGCGTCTGGATGTACGGTTGCTGTCGCGATATATAGCTGATATCCGCTTGAGAATCAGGTACGTATTCCACAAGTAGCTGGCCGTCGTGATTTCGATCAGCAGAGACCTTGATGTCGATTCCGCATTGCTCGAGAGCTTTTGCAAAGGCAAAGGTGCTCGCTGAATGACAGAGAAACAAGTGTTCCTCGCCCTCGAGCAGGACTTGGAGGAAATGCTTGACCTCGATTTCTTCGTTTTTGTTGAGTCCCACGATTGCTGGCCCACTATTGGTCTTGTCGTTATAGGTGTCTAGATAGCTCTTCTTCGCTCGGGCAACGACACCACGGACCTGACCAAAGTCTCTGTACGAATTGATATTGATTTGGAGCCCAACTCGCAGCTTGCTTTCGGCTTCAGGGTCGTTGAGGACATTGGTGAATGCAGAAACGAGCACGTCCGTCACAGCGGCGCTCTGTAAACAGAGATCCAGCGCCGTCACGATGATTACCATCAACCAAGAATGAGGCCTGAGGTCTTCTCCAGAAAGCTCGTCACCAAGTGTCGCAGCAGTGGGAAGCGTGGTATCAGAATCCGCTGTTTGTGAAGATGTGCTCTTACGTACTGGAGCGCTTCTCATGTTGCCGCTGCTCCCGAATGTTTTGCCTGCGGTGCTGCATTTGCCATCGTGATAAATGAACTTGATTCCTGGAAATTTTCTGCTGATCTGACTCGTGTCGACGACACCTTTCCTTCTGAAGAGGCTTTCAGGGTCTTCATTAAGCAAATCGAACAGTTCTTCGTCATTCTTCTTGGCCCGGAACCAGTTGCCCCATTGGCGACCCTGCGCGTATACGTAGGCGATATCGGAAACCGAAATTCCAAGTTGCAAAAGACCTTGCGAGCCTAGAGTAGCTGCGACAGACATGGTGTGTACAGAAGAAGTCGGTGGTGATGATACCATGCTGACAGACAGGCTTTCCCGAGCTGTGTGGCCAAGGCTAAATAAAGGCAGCAAGATGGCGATATGTTCAACGACCGTGTTGCGAAGCACCCGGGCACCGGCGAGCCTCGCTGCTACTTATCTCTCACGCAGATCCATCATCATCACGGCACCCATCAGCTGATTGGCTACATCAGTATGCCTCTTTTGGCATCGGAACGGCGGCATTGCATTCTCAATATGAATCATCGGTTGTTGACCGGTCTGCTCGACCAAGTAAAGACAGGCTCGCATGGAGGCAGGCTCGCATGGTAAGGCAGGAAGATGGCGCTTCGTCGAAGCAGATTGCCGCGATTGGGCGGCATCTTTCAAGATGGTGGGTAGTCGTGGCTCAAATCACAACTCCAGGTCCGGAGGCAGAGCATCATTTGTGGCTCAGCGCCAACTGGCGTGGTCTGCGTAATCTGTGTTACACACCCTCGAGTGTTGAATGTCCTATACCTGCAGTTCGATGATCAGGGACCACTCAGAGATGTGCGCAATGAAATATAATAGTAACAAGAACTCAAAATGCAAGTCGTCTTTGCAAAGCCGTGGCCTCAACAGAGCTGCAGGCTAGCAAATAGCAAGCAGACGTGGCGCTTTTTGTCCTCTGTCAACGTTTCGCAGAGCCTCGAAGTCGCGGCGTCAGCTTTCATGATATCGGATCCGCATTCAGAGCGCCGGCCAGTGGCCATCGTTATATAGAAGAGATGCCATTTGCAAGCATACGAAGCGTGGTTTGTCAACCGCAGACTTGGGCCCTTGCTGCCACCGTTATTAGGGTTCGCAGGCCAACGACGACGGGCAGAACCTACCGAATGGACAGACGGCCATGACCAGTCTTTTCTGTGTTACTTTCCGTGACGTCTGAATGTGCCGAGAGAAATGGGCAGAAAAGATGAGGAGAAGCAAAAAGGGAAATCGCCAATGTATGGAAGGGGAGACACCAAATATAGATGTGTTCCTTCCCAACTCACAGCACCTCCCTGCTGCCGCGAGAACCCTTAACGCCGTACAGCTAGGCCACAAACACAAAGTTCCTTCACGATTTTACCGGACCAAGAAGCCTTACAACGCAAGGCTAATTTTTGTATAGGAAAAACAATCCAAAATGATGGAATCAATTCACATACACAATTCAGCTGTTCTGGCGAAAAAATGCAAAAATTGTGTCTACGCCATGAATCGAACATGGGTCTCCTCGGATCACTTGCTTACGTAAGGCCACAACGAGGTATACTTACCACTATACTACGTAGACTTGTATTGTTGAACTCCGAAATTTGTGGTAACCCATATTCTACACACTGTTGAAGAGAAACAAAATTGTTCGTGTTTGATCTCAGCCGTGGAAATGTGCAACATCAGAATACGGATGCGACTGGAAGTGTAAATTATTTCCTATGGAGAATAGACTGAGCATCTTTGAAAATCAGTACTCACTGGGGTTCCATTATTGCTCAAATTCCCGTAGTATATTTTCAATCTGATATCCACAGGATATAAATTATTACTTGCCATCGTCCCAGGATTATTTCATTTGGGATCAATTTCCCAAAAACCAATATTAGGACTCGTAACAACAATAGGCCAATACATTCTTTCTGATTACGCCAATCATTTGTCTGGAGAATATCGTGATTCTAGCAGAGTCTGAACGACCAGGCTCATAGAGTCCAGTTCACTGCTCTCAATACCGTGAAGTGGATCATTACCTTACAACTCGTAAATCGTGCCTCCCTCCTGTAGCTGCTTGAAGATTTCCACGAAAGACCCAGCATAACATTTTTCTGAATTTACATTCCAAGGTTGAGTCTCGAGACTTGTAGCAACGGCCGTCTCATGCATTCTTTCATATTCATCAGTCTTCTAGGAGCTATCGTGATTATGCCGGTGGTTCAAAGAGTATGCTTACGGGGTCTATTTTGAACTCGAGCTTCAGTATACTTACCATGATGTCCATATATATACATATTTCTATCGCAACTTTCCAAGTATATGCCCGTGGCGGCTCCATGTGAAATCAAACATTAACCACGAGTCCCAATACTTCTACGAATCTGGAGTGGAACATTATTTCTGGTAATGATAATCAAACTTTCCAGGGAAATAATCTCGTGATGGCGAAGTACAAGTGGACTATGTTCAGGACCCTTGTACTACTCGCATTTCCATAGACGTTCCCATCGTCTTGACATCCACACAAACAAATTCTTCCAGAACAACTTTCCAGGTGTAGTCCCATGACGACTCTGTATAAATTCATATATGAGGCACCAGTTCCGATACTTCAAGCAATGCCAAGCAGGGTCTACCATTCCTAGCAATACCTAAGTCCTAATCTTCCAAAGAAAGTACCACAGTTACATCAAATTCAAAGAAGTAAAACCGATAAAGCTTTGTAGTCATTCCTATTCAACTCTCTGTAAATATCATCATATTCAAAACTTTGGATAGCTGCGAGCTAAGTATGTCCGTCTTTCTTCATTCTTCTATGTTTCCCCCTTGGCAACTCTCTGCAATGAACGCATATATAACATCCTTCGTTCCGAAATTGTATTTCAAAGTCGGCGTACAATGAGAAGAGACCCGGATGTATAGCGATGACAACTCGAGCAAATCACATTGTTTTAAACGGGATGAAACTGACGAGCGTTTTATCAAAGCAGCGTAGAATTGTCAGTCTAGCGGTCAAAAAAGTCGTTCTCTGGGAATGTTCAATCTTACCCGAGTTTCTGTCACTTTTTTCCCTTTCTTTTCGTTCTTCGTCCTCTTCCTTCTTCCCATGGTCCCTCGGTATTTCTTCTTATGTGTGGGGAAAAAAAGGGAGTTGAGTACATCTTGGCGAATTTTGACCTCCAATGCAAAATCGTATCAGACGTCTCAAGCAGTATTTATGGCTTGATAAAACAGCCAATATTCCAATCATATCGTTAACAGCCCAACTGATCCATCAGGTCGCTCCATTCATGACAAACTTTCCCCATTCCCACACCGTACGGTACACAACCAAAAGATTGTAGAATGAAACATTCATTTATTTTGACTATCTTGAATCGGACTCGCTGCGCGTGCCGATGAATACAAGCTGCTAAGCGGCGGTGATGCCCTTCAGTCAATGCATGGCCGCTGATCGTATCAAAGCATCGAGCTTGGAAAAAAGAAATCTGCGGCGCCATAGCACCTCAAGTGGTATTAAGAGAACTCCCAAACAACTCCCAAACCCTACCCAAACCAGAAGCCGTTTACATGATGACTTCACTGGAAACATCCTATTGGAAAAAGTCAGCAAAAGAGGTAAAAGCTCAAGAATGGGCTAGAATGAAACTCACCCGCTTCAGCTCCTTGTAAGGCAAGCAGACGCAGTTCTGCACGCGAACCTCATCGTGGACGCCACACTCCTTGCCGAGAATGGTAATGGCCTGCACCTTGAGGCCATTCTTGACAATGCTCGTGGAGTGGCTGGTCACGGGTGTGGGTGTACCCTCGACACGAGCCCAAGCGCCAACACGGCTGTTCCACCCCACAATGGAATAGGTGACGAGGGAGTCGTGCTTGATTTCGGCGTCTTCCAACACAATGGACTCCTTGACACGGGCGCCGCGGCCAATCGTGGCGCGGGGGCCAATGGACACGTTGGGGCCCAGCTTGGCAGTGGGGTCGACCTGTGCAGATGGGTGGATGAAGACGGGAGGGATGATGTTGGCGCAAGGTTTGGCGAGCTCCTCAGATCCGTTTTGCCAGGCTTGCTGGAGGTACAGGGCGTTGGCAGGGACAGCCGAGCCAGCAGTCTTGATCTGGCGCCAAAAGTCCTTGGTCTCGTACACGAAAAATTGCTTGCTGTCGGCCATATCGCTCAGAATGTCCTGCTCGAGGCGGATGATCTGATTCTTGGTCTCGTCATCCTCATCGTCCTGGTCGTAGACGTAGGAGCTCTCGAGGTTCTCAGAGCTGGGGTAGCTGACGAGGCGCGGGCGGTCGGCGCGGCGCTTGATGGCGCTCTTGATGGACGGGAAGATGACATCGGTGCTGAACAGGTAGACGCCGCAGTTGATGAGGTTGCTGACATGGCCCTCCGGCTTCTCCACGTAGTGCAGGACCCGCTTTGTGTGGCTATCGCTAACAATGCAACCAAAGTTGGTGGCCGCCTCGTCTCCGACGCGAGTGCCCAGAATGACGGCCTCGGCATACTTTTCGTTGAACAGGTGCAGCATCTCGTTCAGCGGGAAGGAGCAGCAGACATCCGAGTTGAGCACAAACAGGCGCTCGGGCTTGCCCTTGAGGATGGCATCGCGGAAGTGGTATAGACCGCCAGCAGTGCCGAGGGCCTGGTACTCGCGGAGGTACTTGATGGACAGCTTGGGGAAGGCGGTCGAGGCGTCTTTGAGAAAGTCGCGGAAGACGGACTCGTCGTAATAGCCAATCAGGTAGACTTCGTGGACCGAGGGGACTTTGGAGACGGCGGTCAGGCAGTGGTAGATGATCGGGTGGCCTGCGACATCGAACAGTGGCTGTAGGACGGTGGGCACATTGTTAGCCAGCGCAACAGTGGTCGTGTTTCCGAGCCGCCAAGGGGCTGGCAGCAAGTGAAACGGGCGGGACAAGTCCAACAAGACCATGGAAACACACCTTGGGAACATCGAGGGAGAGCGGTCGGAAGCGGGTGCCGCGAGAAGCACCTCCAACCTAGTTGCCAGTGTCCACCACGTTAGTTCAATGTAGGTCTTTGTCCAAAAGCATCACCAGTTGCGCTCTCTTGAAGAGGCGTGGCGTAAACCTCACCAGGATGACGGCCTTGGTTGCGCCGTGGGGATCAGCGCCATTGGCCTTGGGCCTGCCTGGCAATTGCAGAGACATGGTGACTTGTAGGCAATGGAGTGATGTCGGCGACTCAGTGAACAAGTTGCGCCAATGTTCCTTTACAAAAGAGAGCAAGAGAAGGAGGGAATTGGGAATTGGTGTTGGTGATGTTGGTTGACAGTCTCAAAAGTAGAAAGCTGGCTCGATGGCAGCCAGAGAGTCGTAACATTCACGGACCCCTGCGCTGCCAGCCTACCCAAGCAAGGGAGACCCTGGAGGTCTGCAAAGTGGGGCCACGGCAGGCATTGCCGACCCTGCCAGCTGCTATGTACACAGTACAGCAGCCTCTTGGGAGCTGGATTTGATGCATGTGATCTTTCTACTATATAGTACCTGGCTGTAATACCCCAGCTGTGTTGGATTCACAAAAAACAGTCCCTTGTCAGGGCTGTCAAAGGAGGCTGCAGCTGCCACAGCAATCTACAACCTTTGAATCTCTTGGCTTCATCCTTGGCTTTTATACTCTCCGTTCCAGTGCTGAAGAACCAAGGCAAGCAACTACCAACAAATACGTAGGTTGCTCCCATGGCTGCGGCGCATCTCCAAACCCAGGTGAGGTCTTGCTTATCAGCTATCTTGCTGTGCAGGGCCATGGCCAGGGGTGTGGCCCTGATCCACGTCGTGTCTATGGCCATCAGTGCTTCACCATGACTGGGCTCCACTTTTTTGGCCGGCCATGTTAAGCTGCACAGCACTTGCAGCTCCTCCAAGAGCTGCACCTCAACATCTCCAGGGCACAATAGGCCCTGCTAGGCTGCACCCTGGCTGTTCACCAAGTCCTTATCAGACACTGACATTCCCAGAGTGCCTCTGGAGAACTTCACCAGCTGCCCCAGACTGCTTTTCACTTCTCACTTCTCAGTCACAACCAAAAGCAAAGCAACTGTTTGCCCCCAGCTCTTGCGATTTGGATTTCCTTTCATTGGCTAGGAATTCTTCTTGGCCATTCTTTTTCCTAAAGTCCTTCATCTGGCAAGAATATAAGTTGTGAGGCCTGCCAACCGCCATTCGTTTCGCCGTCTCGCTCGCTCTCCCTCCCTCATGAATGCATGCAACGCACGTACTTAAGCTCACCGGCATCTGGGGCTGTTAATCACCATTGTGCGTTGGCATCTGCCTAAGCCCGTTCTATCTTCTGGCATAGATATCGTTGGCTTGTAAGTCTTGTTCATCCTTTGCAATTGAGGTTGACTGCTCGTATCTCACACTGCTCCCACAACTTCTTCAGATATTTCAAAGTCAACTCGAACTAACACTTTCGCTCCCAGAACCACGTCGTCTGCGAACAATATTTGCGATGCCTGCTCGCATCATCAAAGTCGAGGCGAGTACAGCGCAAGTCTCTGCGCCACCACGACGAGGGGCTTCGCGCAGCCAGCCGCCTCAACGCAATGGCCTGCC